CAAATAACAAAGATATCACTAAAAATTATACATTAGAAAATCTAACGGAAATCAAGGTGACATGTAAAAAAACACTTGGTATTTCAGACTAGAAATGAATGCATGTTAAGACTCCAGTTTTCCAGTTTGATGAAGAACCCACACAGATAAAAACTTTTTTAAACTTCAGCAACAGAACTTCGCTGTTATCTTGAGCAAGATAAAAACAGCACAGGAAGATTTTTCTAAATTACACAAGTATTTTATGAGGCTTAAAGAATAATCAATAAAACACACCAGAATTTAACACCATACATGGGTAAACTGACTTTGCTTATAAGAATAATAAACCTGTGGAGGTTTACACCTTACAGCACTTAGTGCTTTACTGGAATAAAAAAATACACACGAGCATAACATGTTACATATTACTTTAAGGCAAAGAGAACCCAATCTATACATAAAAATGTCAGTTAAATAAATCTAACAGTTATGCTGTACAGCAAACTAGCTAGCATGCACGAGAACACGAACCTGAATTCTAGCTGAACTGAACGGCAGCAGTAGTTAACTTAGCAATAACTTCATGAGTCCTCCATCACTTCGAAGGTTTTAGGCTCTAGTTAAACCAAAAAGTAAAATTAATGGATGATATTCCACAACTTGTATTACACAGGTCATCAGATTAGGAAACTGTGATGATTACAGTAGTTCCCGTTAACCTCAGCTTTCCGCTTTAGAATATGTGCCACTGTACTCTGCACAGTAATGGACCACTTGTCAGCCTGCATCAGCTTTAATCGGCTGGGCTAAGGAGAGTTCATATAACCCCTCCTAAGGCAGCTCTGCTTATGTTACATTGAAGCATTGACTGAGAGTTAGAGATCCACTGCATTTAGAAGGTACTACACAAGGCTAGATGTGTACCTTTCAATCTGCCCTGATGACAAGGTGGTGCAGAGAGGCTCTCCAAGGAGAGCAGAAGGACCTGAAATGTGATCAGAGCCACACTCTTGATCCCTGCCTCCCTTTAAGGAAAAAAGCTGTGTAAGGCTTTTTCTTGGAGCAGATATCAACCCCCAGGTCATTCTCTGCTGTCAGACCCGTGTGCTAGAGTGGGGGAGGAAGTTACTCTCCGCACTCCCTTCCCACCTTCCTGGGAAGGGAGGTAGACAGCTGTCCCCTCACTACGTGGACAGCCTCTGACCTTCTGCCTCCTCGCAGCGCTGCAAAGGTCAGATCACAGCAAGCCATAGGAAGGGCAGAAATAGCACATATAGGCTCCACGTATGTGGTGCGGTTCCTGAGTGCTCTCCAGCCACAGGCCCAGAGGTGTGACAAGGCTCCCCCATGAAACGAGCGCAGGGCAGGTACCCTGTTCTCTCAGCATCTGCCCCACAACCCTATTTCCACACAGAAACATGTGTACATAAGTAGGAAAGAGGCCCTGCAAGATCCTAACAGGCCCCCTAGGCCCAAAGGGGTGCACCTGGAATATATCTATGCAGCAGTGCAGATGTATCACTGGCTCCTCGTGACATAAAAAGCTATAAAGATTAGCTCTGAACAGAGCTGCATGGTGTTACAGTGGCTGCTTTATGCTAGCCCTACCCATGCTTACCGGTGAAGCCAAGTGGCGGAGGTGAGAAAATCAAAAAACCTTAACAAGCAACACACCCCAAAACCTCGCTGTTACGAAAAGTATTTTTAAACAGCGAACTGCAAACAACCAGTGGTGTCTGACTGGGAAAATCCTCTTGGAATTTGATAACTTACTATAGTTTAATTATAGCTAATATAGTCTTTCTGTGTTAACCATTTGTTAGAGTAACACCATAGTGCTGAAACATCACAAAAATGAGGTCCAAGAATGAAGCTCCAAAACAACAGATCTCCAAGAACATGGTCAATGATGCTGGTTAGGGGACGGGTGCAGCATTTTCTCTGCTCAAGGGCAAAAGAAGAGCAGCTCTCCTCAGTGAGGAGCTATTACCACTTTTATTCCTCTCACCTCTCAGGCAGCAAATGACTGGGATAACCAAAGGATTTCAATTGCTTTGACTTATGCAGGACTTCTCCATTTAGTCTGGATTCAGGCACAAAGATCTCCATGCATCTATTCATAGTGGGAATTGTGCGTAGGAAAAGCTATACATTCTAAGGAATATTTGTTTGCCTGCATTAACAAATGGCCTGATTAGCTGAGCTCAAAACAAGTTTTTGCCTTCTTTGTAGGGATAACAATATATTTGGAAGGTCAGACAGTCTCCTTCCAATCTGTCACGTCGGCTTGTTGCACTGTGCTATATGCCACACCTACAGGCAGAGTTCAGTGGTGAAAAATATCCGCAGGCCAATCTTTTGAGAATACTGTCTATGCTGATGGCACTTGAGCTTCCAGAGAAAGAGGAAGAGGTTTCCCGATCTCCACGGACCACGTCTCTTCAGTCTTTGCCTGAGAGAGTTCTGAAATGGATCAAAAGATTTCAGCAACACCGAACTGGGTTTTACAGAGAAGCACTGCACCTATGCACTGGACACCATGTAATGCATGAAACATATTTAGCTGGAAATAAACACAAACTGTGACCTTCCTTCAACCCTGTTAATTATGCGTCAGAGTCAACTCCGAGGGAGGGGTCCTGCCTGACTAGTCCCTATGCTTCAGCACTACCGGATGGCGTTGGCATGACACTGTCAGGACATAGCATCACAGATTCTGTACTGAAACATAATTTATAATATCACTATGTGTGATAAAGCTATGCAGTTGCTAGGAAGCTTATAATGAACACAATATAATTACTAAGAGTACAGACACAAAAACTGCTGCATTTGTGTTTAGTTCAGCAAAACTAGCATAATACTTCCAATTTCCAGCTCAGCTGTTCATCCATTCCTAATCCAAATAAGTAGCTATATTTGTGAGCTTTCTAAAAAACCTTTTGATTCCTAGCAGCTGCACGTATACAAAAAGAAGGGACTAAAAATGAATCAGTGATTGGTAACTTTCTAAACTTTGCCTCAATTCAAAAGACGGAATCTGAAAACCTGTGGTATTCATACTAATGTAAAATACATTTGTTATTAGACCTGTTTGGAGTTTAAAAAGTATGCGTTATCTGCAGACAAACTAATAAAGTTAAAACAGAATTGTATAAATACCTTTTTAGCTGTGAGATCAAAAGTATTTCACATTTGATACTCTGCTACTGAAGCTTTATTACCAGAAAGTAATATAAGTAATACATAAATAAAGAAAATTGACAAGAGAAGGGAAAAAATGTTAGAAGATAGTTACAGTAAGAGGAAAAAAAACCCTAAAAAACATAATGCAATCAAAACCTCACCTGACAATCACTACACATCAAACTAAACCACTACAAAATCTGTATCATTAGAAAATCTCATTCTACGTCTTTTCTGCAACAAATCTATTCACCATAGAATTCTAAAATTTTAAGGAAAACAGTATGAAATGTGGATAAAACCCATCCAAAACGGAGAGAAAGCAAGTGAGCAGGAAATAAGCACGAGCAGTTTGTCTAGGCCTCCTTTCATGGGTCTAAGGAAATCTCTCTTTATGAGCAGCGTAGCTGAGATTTATCTAATTGAATACAGATGTCTGCAGCTCAGTTGGTTGTCAAGGCTCCCTTTAGAGTCAGCAGAAAAAGATCTCTTTTTGTGCCTCTGGGCACAATTCTCATCCTGCACTAAAGGTGTAAATATGTCAGATGAACTGTGCCCTGCAGTTTCTGAAAGAGCCAGGATGCCATGGCAGAAAGCAGATCAGAGGTTAGCAGGGTATTAGTCCTTCTTAGAGTTGGCTCACAACAGCTGTAGAGACAAGAAGCAGCATCCTATTGTTTCAATGGTACATGGAACATACCAAATGAAAATCCCTGAGGTTGTTCAAGTATGTCATCCCTGTCAGGGATGGAGGGTAGAAACCAAAATGACTGAATTCAGAGCAGAGAACTAAAAAACTTCAGTTCTAGTCTCAGAACTGTGTCACAAACGCACAAAAGCACTCCCTGGTATAACAGGATTTCAGTTCATTTCCTTCAGCCCTCAAGTGTTATTTACTGAAAATAAAATACTTAATATAAATTCAGCCTATCAATCATGACTTAGGGTCCTCTGAAGTTAACTGCTTACTTCTTCTACAGACTATCTGTTGGGGAACTGGGTTTCTCCCACAAAAAGAGAGAAGAAAACTTCCTAGGTCTTACAACAGATCCAACAAGGCACATCCTGGATTCTACGGAAGAAAATCACAGTCACAAAATAGGTTTGCTCTGATCTATTAAGTCCTCATTTATACAATACATTATACTACTGTGAAATATTTTCACACATGGTTACATGGAAAAGAATATCTCTTTACATATTTCAATAATATTTGCTCTTGATTCTCTTTAGCACAGTATATTAGGCGTATACTTATTCTACAGCTGTTTAGCACTGTTCCCTGTTTCGTTTTGAATACTTCAACCTGTCAAATCTGCAGTAATATACTTGATGTTCTTTTCCTGATGTTGGAAATGTGCAGAGGCAGGCAGGACTGGCAAGGACTGGCACAGTACTATGATGAAAATGAATATGTTAGAGAGCACATTGCTGCGGTGATATGGCTGAGCGCCATGACAATAATGGACTAATTCCTGGAGACTACTGCAGGTACAGTGTGATGTACGTTGTCATTTTAATGCAGTATTGTTACAAGTTTACTATATATATATGCAGTTCCATGCATCAAAATTAAATTTGAATATGGATTAAAAAAATAAATGCAGAAAAGTTGTTTACAGTAGAAATAACAGATTGGTGTTAATTTTAGCTAGGTAACAGGTATTATACTAGTAGCAGTAAAACTATGAAAAATGATTGAATGGTGTTTAAAAAACTGGTTTCGTACATACTTTAGAATACAGAAAAAATAAAACTCAAGGCTAAAACTGGAGAGAAGATTCTGAGTTTTGTAACACAGCTTGACACATGGGATTTGACTCAGCGGATGACAGATCAACTTGCCTGTGGGCTTTGGGTGACTTTCTGCCAAAATTAGTAGATTTCTCACTGGGAGCTTGCATTGAACTACCTATAAAGGAAATCGGGTCGGGGCAGAAAAACAAAAAAAGGTGTTAAGCATTGCTAAAACAAACAGTTTGTTCATCCTAATTTAGTCTGTTTAAGACAAAAGTAACCTGATCTTTCTTTAGGGTACAATAAAGCAGGGATATCCTTCTTTAGATCTTTGCATGCTGTATGAACGACTACATGCTGTATGCACTTGAGATTAACCAGGATGCACCCTGTACATTTATTCTCTCCAGGAGAGCAGAAGGAAGTTTTCTATCCCCCATGCTTTATTTTAGCCATGGCAGCTATTAGGTAGAAGATAATGTTTAGAATTGGAGTGTAACAGAACAATGCACAAAAGAGATACTGCAGAGCTCATCTTTCATTGTAGCCCTTTATGCTTTTTCCTAAGCTCCTATACTCACTGTCAGGCTACTGAGCCCAAGACACTATAAATGATGCGCTCTTCTGATACTCTGCTGAGCAAAATCAAAAAGGCATTTGTCCGTATTCAGTACAGTGCAGAGAAAACAGACATGTCTAGCAGCTCATAATGCCATCCAGCCAAAAACAGCATCATTTTTTTTCTGTTGTGCAAACTGCTGACCTGCATTTAACTGTCTGGATAAAGAAATCCATCCAATCACACTAGAGTTTTCTGGTAAATGCTACTTAGCAACAGAAGGAATAGATGACCACGATCACTGGACAAGAACCGAGTTCTAATTTTGGCTTGGCCACTGACCTCCTATATAACCTTGAAAAACTCATTTCACCTCTTGGTGCTCTCATCTGTGTCTGTTTCACTCACAGCACTTCAGAGCGGGGACTGCTTCTTACTGTGCAGGCACACTGTCTCCCAAGGACTTAGTCTGGCTGAGAGCTCCTTTTGCTACTATAATGCAAAAACAAACAAACAAAAAACATATAAGCAAATATTTCAGAAAAAAATCTTAGGAAGGAACTATTTTATCAGTTAATCCAAAAATATATTAATCAGTAAAAACTTCAGCTTTATCTTTTTGCCCAGTGTATTAAAAGCACAGGTAGTGTTAATTCCCTAGAACTCCAGGACAAGCAATGCTAACTGCATGTTGAACTTTGAGCACGGTAATATTATATAAAATGGACTTCAGGATCCAGCAAGTTGTGCAAAGCTTTCAAGTGACAAGGCCAAGTATCTCCTTCTTTGGTCCCCCAATGCTTTCTAAGCAAGCAGAACATCAGGAGGTATCATGCCAGCAAGTAATGGTAACAATTGCATTAACTATTCAAGACCTTCCTTGCTTTGGTAAACAGAACATTGCTTTGATGTTCTGTTACACATCTTGAAGACATCCTAGGGTATGAACACTGCCGGCAGAAACACCTATTTTATCACTATTTCATTAGCAGACTCCTTTCTACTCCCATATGAGCTCCTAAATAGAGTGTTTATACAAAACCTAGCCTTATGGTATCTGGCTTCCTTCCACCTTGCACAGCATGTGACCAATGAAACATGCCTGGGCAGTGAAGACTCCTACGTATTTGTAACAGTCTTGCAGGAATCCCCTGCAGAGTGATTCCAAGGCATATGAGAAAAGACAAGCAGGAAACCCCATAGCATTTTCAGAGCCTTTCAATGTTAGCACCTGAATGTTACGGAGTGAATTTTTTATTTTTTCTCTTCGCTACTATGGAAATTGAATAATAGCTGCTTTTATTCTCTGTAGACTTACAGAGTCAGCATCTGAGATGCTCAAATTCTGAAGGACACCATCATTCGTAATTGACCATTCATGAGATGGTAAAGACAAGAACAAAGGAGATATTCAAAGAGTTAATCAAAGCCTCTACATATGACAGCGTGTCGCTTAGGTGCAGAAGGTGTTTCTCTAACCAGCAGACAAATATCAGAGGCCAAGAAAACAGGAGCCATAACAACCAATGAGCTGGAAGAGAAAGAGTTACTTTTTCTGCCGATGAGCGGAAAAATGGCCCATCACAGCCAGGGGAGCCCTGTTGTAGCTGAGGAGAACACAGAAATGCACTGGGACAAGCAGAGGAACTGACGGAGATAGCAAACTAGCAAGTATTACCGTTGAAAGCAAATTCCAGCAAAGCTACTTCTTGTTTTAAATTTCCACATCTGTTCCCTCTTTTCTGCACCAGGCACAGCAGCCTCCAGCTTCGCCAGCGCAGACTTGCCCTCTTTGGAGCAGCAGTTCACTTGGGCTCTTCCATGCCCCACAGGGAAACCAGGGCTTTCTGGGACCTGAGCTCCACTGGCACAATCCAAGCCTCAGGCTAGCACTCTGCCATCCAGCCCCTACAGATTCCAACAAATTTTGATAATTTGAGATTTAAAACAAAACAAAGAAAATTTTAAGAACTGTGTATCATAAGATAACTCTCTGTAAAAGGAATAGGAAATGAAAAAGGACTCTCACCTCCACTATTTCTAATCTCATCTACAGTTCTCACACTTAAGATAAAATTTGAAGATAAAATTGGAACTTGAATGGTTTTGGTAATTGAAGTAGTAACTCGAGATGTAGTTCTAGCAATTTAATCTCCTCATTACACATCATTAAATATGAACACATTCCTACTGCAGAGATAGCTGATAAAGTCTATCCTCTTTTTAAAAAACATTAAAATGTATGTTCCACACATTTGCCAAAGGAAAAAAATCCTTTTGAAGGAAAAAAATCTTTAATCCCTGTGTCTGCCCCCTCCTTCTGCATGTTACCTTCATTTCTGTAAGAGGGAATCAATTTCTTTAATGTTGCTGTTAATTCAAATGCATTTAGGTAACACTTTAACTTGTCCCAAGGGCGGTTTTTTTTTTCCACGCAGACTTAAAAAAGCCCTCTTGTAAGAGATAAGTATCAGACATTACAATGGAATCCCTCAGTCCTTTAACTGCACTAAAGCAGCAGTCATCTACTGAATATTCAGAGCCAGTATCAAAAGAGTATTTTTTTTTTTAAATGAAATGAGGCCCCTCATCAAAGGCTAGCCTGCAGTTCCAAAGTACCCATTTCTGATGGAAAAAAATCAGAAGGCCCTGATAATCCCTGAAACTGTGCTATACTCTATACAACCAGGAGAAGGTTGCTAAAAAAAAGGAACTCTGAAAAATGGTTACAAAGATGTAATAGGTGATTCACTGAACAAAGCTGAGATGACATGAATAGTAGATCTGGGGGGAAGAGAGAACTTGCCATTGTATCTACTAACAAGGGCTTCTGCATCTGTGCAGGGCACCTTGCAACAGAATAGGCTTAGAGAACAGGCACAGAAAATAACACTACAAGGAAGGAAGGAATAGACTCAGAGACATAACTACAGACTGTCACTTAAAAGATATCCACTGACCTGATTCTCATTTCACCTTTAAGAAGACTCCACCAACCTGAATTCTGACAAAAGTGGTTTAGTTTTTCCTTTTAGCACAGAGGCAGCTTAACAATACTTGTGAATCTTTCTTTGGTTCTCAAAGTCCTTGCAGTATTTATGCCAATACATATGTTGCTACCTAGGTGACAGTCAGTCTTTAAGAGTCAGTCCATCAATGCCATGCTTTTAACAAGAATTATCTGTGAATTCCCAACCCGGCCCCATCACTTAATACTGAAAAGGAATGATCTGTTTTTCATGGTACCTCTAAATATCCTCTGTCTTCAGGAAGTTTGAAATGAAAGTCATAAATTCTGTAATTTCTCTATATTCGTGTAAGAGATTTTAAACTTGCCTAGAAGTGACTGTAGAGATGTGTGTATGTTATATGTAAACATACAAAATAACACACAACATGGGTAAAACTTCTGAAAAGGCCTCGTAACATTTCTATTTGGTTCAAAGAAAAAGTGCATCTACAATAAAAGTCTCAATAGTCAAGGTAAACGAATAATAATTAAGTCACGTAGTGCCCCTGCCACCAGTGTAAACTTTGTCCATTGACTACACCATATGGGCAATAAAACTGTTAAGAAACTGTATTCCAACACCTAGTAGCATAAAGGTAGACTTTCATCTAAAACCATTAGAAATGCCTCAATTTTCAAATGCCAAATGACAAGGCTAAACAAGAACTCCAGAGCTGCTACACTGCATAACATCACATAGCATGGAACCATCAATATACAGTATAAGAGATCGAAAGAAATTTTGAACACTAGAAAACCACTCTTCAGCTATAAATCCTTGCATTAGTTTAAATTAGAATAACCCAGGTTGCTTCTGCTTCAAATTAGTTTGCACGAGGAAGTCAGATCAGACGATGACATTCTGCATACTTAACAGTATCATCTCCAAAAACAGAAGTGAAAAGGTGAATGGCCAAGCCACTCTGCCCTGCTAAACCAATTAAGTCTCTCTTGAAAAGTAACCCAAAACAACAGCAAGAGCTCAGATACCACAAAGCATCTTTTTCAGAGGTATTTCATTACAGTTGGCTTTCTTCCTGGGCCGACATCCAGAAATACCAGCGTTGCTTCAGTTTATTCCAAGTAACTTGTCTCTTTGATGTCTGAATTATATGCACCTTGTGCACTGCATTTGAACAGAAGATCATTGATCTCCTTGAACTCCTTTCTCCATTCCATATTTTTTCAATCTTTAGCTACTGCCTGACAATAAACTTCTGAATTATAAACAAAGATTTCAGAAAAATGAGAAAGACCCTTTACTCTGTAGCTCTTCATTCACTCCAGTGATATTGTGTTACTTTATTACATGTACCAAGCAGCGCACAAAACCCCAGAGATGATCACTGCCCCATTGTGAAATTACAAAAGCAAAATCTCTACTGAAGCTTGGCCATGTTAGGCTCCCCTTCTCTGCAGCAGGCAGGACAGAGGCGCCCAAAGCAGACCCCCTCTCCCATAAACACATTGCTGTTCTTTTCTCTAAAACAGGAATAAGTCTGCTCACCTGAATACTTCCAAACATTACTCTTCTGATGTGCTCTTTAGCCACTTCCCTATCCCAGATAGGATTTTATGCGCTTCTTATTTTTCTGGTTCTTATACCAAACCAAGCACCTCTAATTCTGATGTTGTTTGAAAGCAACAAATCAGAGAGAACTGACTTCAGTCACTTCTCAAATAGGAAAATATAAATATATAGAATACTTATATGTCTTCCTGGCTCAGAATCATCATGCCAATTTAGTATGAAGTTCCTTCTTTATCTGCAGTGGATCATCTGGAAGACGCTGTTGCATTCCGCTTTTTAGATGACATATAAAATGCAGGTCCTTACCACTTACAGCTTTTTGGAAACACGGAACTATTTTAGAATCTTTCAGCAAAAGAAGGACACTCTTACATTTTGCTAGACAGCTTAAAAATCTTTGAAAGGTGCTTGCAGTTGTAACGTCAGCTGTAATTTTTCCTTCACAAGGGTTACCTAAAGTGTACCACCACAACGTTGTCTGTGGAGGCTGCCACAGTGGCCACAAACCTAGCTGTAGTCACTGTTGCATCCACCGCAGGATGCAAGGCCACTGTAGCCACATTTTAGAAGTTGGCTGCTTTTGTTACATCCTTGATACGTTTTTGGTCTGTTAGCTCTCTGAAGTGGGGAAGATCTTTTTCTTCTGTATTCATACACTCACACAAGAGCCCATGACTAAGGGTGCAGATTGACATCTAGTCACAGTGTTCATTTAGCAATTCCACTCTTGAGGGCACCCAGCATCTTGTTCCCCCAGGGCACTGGACTGACAAGGCTACTGTTTTTGTTGCCCTGAGCCAATTTTTCAGCCAGATCAGTTCTTCAGTTTGGCTCACTGGTGTGCCTGCAAATGAGGAAAACCCAAGTTTTTTGCAGCAATCTTTGCACGTCTCAGCTATTGTTTCCTTTCATCTCCGTATCACTCTGCTGCTTTTAAATGTTATATTCATGCTAAGTTAGAACTGCTGAATGCTTCCTGTGCTAATTAAACAGTAATTTCAGAGAGCAGCTTGAAGTACCACAGCTCATAAAAATGGAGCCTGTTGTGGAGAAGAAGGAAAAATGCTATAAACTGTCACTGTTCTGAGAAAGCGTTACTGGAAGATATATAATCTAACATGAAATTTGAAATTCTTGTCACAGGAAATTTGATCAAAAAAGCAAAAATACGATTTTAAGGTCTTCTTTCACATAATTATATTATATGTCCTCTCAGAACAAACAGTGCACTAACTTAAACAATAAATAAAAATTATGTTATTCTCACATCCAAAGCATTTACATTAAGATGAGGAAACTGTAAACATAGAGCTACATAAGATGAGCGTAACAGTGAGAATAGCACAATATCATAAGAGAAAACTTGTGCCTCAGCAGAGGACGATACGAGATTATTACACTTCCTTAAACTAGAACAAAACAGTAAGACAGAAAAGATTGACCTTTCTGTCCTACCTTGGGCTTCAAATATCTTCTGTTAAACAAAGGATCAGTGATGTAAATCAAAAGCAAATCACACATCTTAACATGTCATTCCACTAAGGATAGTGCTAGTTTATCCTTAATAATGTAATTTTAATTTTTTTTTTGAACTGAAACTATGAAGAATGTGTCTCAGAGTTCTTAATGGGGAGATCTTTTTCCTTCATTACATTTTATGAAAGCACTGAAAACGAAACAAGATACGCAATGTTTTTAAGTGATATCAAAGCAGTCACAGCAGAAGTACTCAACAGATAGAGAGACAATTGCTCCCTTTGTCATGAGTTCTGTTCCTCTCTGTATCAATTTTTTTCTCTACGATTTCCCAGTAGTGCAAATGCTGCTGTAGTCCCAGCAAATAGTTATGACACAAAAACGGCAGGGATTACTCCTGCTGATTTTTCAGTACATGGTCACGAAGAAAAACATTAAGTCAACTTATTGGGAAAAACACCAACAACTCACTAAGGTTCCTCTTGTCCTATCACCACTGGTATAACAGCATGATAACCATACGCAGCAATATTGGAAGAAAAAGGTATAGTCACCAAAGCGAACACACCTGCTGGATAGCTCGATAAAATTCATCTTGAGATGACCACAAATGTGGCCAAATGCTTTTAAAACTGAGGGATGGCAAATGAGGATTTTTATTTACCAGGACTAGATTATATTTCCCTGTCATAAAGGGCAGGAGCCAGGAGATGAATGAAATCACTGTATTTCAGAGTATTTCAGTGAAAGAAAACAAACAGACAACTCAATTGTTTTCTACACAGTCAAAGACAAAGCCATCTTTGTCTGTTATCAATCAGACCCAAAGGTCCAAGAAGATATTTACTTGGTGGGTACATGATGCATACTTGAGACACTTA